ACCATTAAATATTACAATATGTATCATATCTCAATGCGTAAATAATAGCAGTGTCTTATATGAAAATAATGATAATATCAGTACCGTATTACATTAACCATTTTTTGTGTATACGGTATAATTCTTTCAACAAATACTACTGTAATAACTAATTTCATCCTCTTCCTTTTATTTATTAACTAAGAAAAAAAATTTGTTAAAAATATACAGCACTTTTTCTAACACGTACTATTGCATTATCATATTTCAATTTTTTGTTTTTGCGTGTTAAAATTACATTCCTTTCAGTGATTATTGATATATCAATTTTGCAACAGATTATTTTCTATGACAACGAAAGAAGGAAAGATTTATGAAAGCATTTATTTATCTTTTTTTCAATTTTTTTTTGAATAAATTGAAATTAAACTTGTCAGTTAAATACTAAAATTTGTACAAAAATTTAACCATACCTTTTTTTCTTCACCGTTTAAAAAAAAGAAAATGAAGAAGAATAGGATGGAAAAAATTATGAAGCAGAAGGAAGAACGAGAGAGAGAGAGGGAGACAGAGAAAGGGAATGTGGGAGAAATCGTTAAATATCAGAAAATATTTTTCGTAAAATACATTTAACTAACACAAAATATATATTTAACGTACTTATTAAAATTTGTTATATAATCTACATTTTATAATATCTTCCAATCAAAAGCAAAAAAAAAATCTATTTTTCTTTTTCTTTCCTTTTTTCTTTATACTTCCCTCATCATTCTCTTTTTCTTTTTTTTTCGATTTCTTTTCTTTCTTTGAAAAAATATGAAAATAAAACTTTCCCAATGATTTTTTTTCTGTCCTACAACTTTAAATGCTTTATTTGTTAGTTATTGAAAAGAAAGAAATCGTTTGCATTTCAAATTATATTCAATTCAATACTCACTTCTTTCTTTTTTTCTATCGTTGCAACCAGTGGAAAATATTATGCAAATTACAAATAAAAATTTTTGATCAATTTTTTTCCCATTTTTTGCATCCTTTCAATTGAAAGAAAGAAAAATTAAGCGATTGATTGCACTAAAATATGTACTTATAAATTTTTCTGACATAAAGCATTTCAATAATTTTGAAATTATTGAAATTTTTCATAACTAATAGTTATGAAAAAAAATTTTTTTTTATGAAGAAGAAAATTGCAAAAAAGCCAAATCAAAGAAAAAAAAACAAAATTAAAAAAGCATTCTGAATTGCTCAATTATTTCAATGCATAGTTTGTAAATAATTTATGTAAGATAGGATAGTAAATTAAGGATTTAAATAAAATTTTCGGAATTAGTTCTAGAATAAAAAGATTAAACATACTATTATTTGTGCTATCAAAGAAGCTCTGTTTGTTTAATAAAATTCTGAATTATATTTCACTAATATTTACTGATAATTTTCAGAGAACATACGTATTATCCCAACCAGCAATATATCTGTCAAATTTTGTGCACCAAAAAGCTATTTATTTAATAAATCAGTAAACGAACAAATTAATTGATTAAATAAACAAATTATAAATGATTAATTTTTAGTTCTATTAGTTTCTTTTTTTATAATGAAAAGAATGTTATCTTATAGCAGGAAAATCTTTTTTTCTTTTTTTATATCTGTTGTTAGGTTCGAAATTATTTTTAGTTTATTTTTTATTATATGCGTTGCATATTTTGTTAAGCAAATACAATGCTTATTATATGTTTAATTAAATTCTTAAAAAAAAAAATGAGCTCCTTATTATGTGCAAATTTATTATGTAAATAAACAAAATTATTTGATAGGAAAATGACAAAGTTCTTTAAAAAAATTTTCACTTTTAATAATTTAATCATTGTTGCAAAGTAATTCGATGATTTATTTATTTTTGTCTTTTGCGTTTAATCATTTAAAATTTAAACAAATTAATGTGAATTCTTTTTCTTTATATAACAATTTTTCATTTCATACAAATTTAGACAAGATTTTTATTAAATTTTGATCTAACAATAAAAGACTAGTTTGCTTTTAAATGTGAATTTTTCTTTTCACTTACCATAATTAAATGTCAAAAAAAAAGGTAGTGGCATTTGCTTTTTCATTCAAAAAATTGCATTTCTATTGGACTCAAACTTAGTAAAAGAAAAAATCGAGCAAATGCTAATAAAATATTTTCTTCAACATTTCAACTTATAAATTTACAATTTTATGTGACATCAAAAAAAGAAGGAAAATGTGGAAAAACAAAGAAGAATTTTTGTTTCTTCCAAATAATTTTTTCCTTCGTAGTGATAAGGAAAAATTATAGGTTAAAACTATGAAAATTAAAAAAAATTAAATTTGTAAGAATTTTTTTGAATCATGCAAAAAAATTCAATACAATAATAACAAAAAAAAAGAGGAAATACGGAGGAAATATTTGTTTTCCGTTTTTTTTTTTTCTATAAAACTTTTTTTAATAGTATGAATGTAAGAAACAAATTATGTGGGAGTAATTGTGGCACGGATAATTCATAATTTTGCTTAATTTTAAAACTAGCAGCTACAGTTGTACTTCCGGTAGAAACATTTATGCACTAAGGTTGACAACAAAATTGAAGTAATAATTATTTCGTGAGATAAGGTAGCTTTTTGGGAACAAATAACACAAAAGACTAAATGTTGATTTAAAGAGAGCCAAGAATCCAGCCAAGAAAATCTTGCCAAGAATGAATTATTCCTCGTGCCACCGTCACTGCCCGCCCCGCATATCCCGCATTACAAATATTTCTCGGTTCATCCAATCCACTCTCTTTCTTTTCTCCTTTAAACGCTCATTGTGATATTTTATTATTGGTGCTTCTTTTCAAATTATAAATATATTTTCAGTGATTCATTAATTGATTTATTCATTTTTAAAATTGTTAAAATTTTTCCTGTCTTTAAATTTCGAATGTTTTTTCGACAAATGATGTTTGCTTCTTTGAAATAATTTTATCAGGAATAAAGTAAAAAAAAATTATTGCATTAAAAAAAATTGCATATAGTAAAAAAAAATTATTGCATAATTCAATGGCAAATTTGAATGACATATTCGTAATAAAGGTTGAAATTGAAATTATTGGGAATTAAATTTGATAATTTAAGATGATGTCTTTGTTTAATAATAAAAGAAAATTTATTTCAATTAGTACAATTAAGGATTTTCTGAGGAAAAATCCTTTTATTATTTACAACATTCTTATCTATTTCGAGTGATAGCAATTTATTCATTTTATTTTTCACCAAAACTGCAATTTATAACAAAATTTTTAATTAATTAACCTTTATTTTTCATCTTTTAATCTAAATTGTTTTATGAACTCAATATAAATGTCGTTAGGTAAGAAAAATCCTATTATTACGCTTATTTTTGCTTTTTCCTTTTTTCTTGTCAAATTCATTCTTAAAAAATGTTTTAAGTCTGAATTTGACAAGTTAAGCTGACAAAGTAATATTTATTGCAAAATTCAATTTCAAAAAAAGCCAATTTTTCTTCAACTTCAATTTGTTTTGTTATGTTTAAATTACACTAGCCATAATTGAAGATAAGTTAGACAGAATATCAGAAATAAATAGATAAATTTATAAAATATAAATTGAAGATTTTCAAAATTTAAAAGCAACATTGGGTATAAAATTTGAACGTAAATTTTCTTCAAAATTTAAAAACAATTTTTGGAAAAACTCAATGAGCAATCAATAACTAATGAATAAAAAAAAGAAAAGTCGAAGATTTTGTTTTTAAAACGTATGCATTCGATTGAATGAACCCAAACATTTGCCCTTGCTTCATTTTATCTCTACTTGCTAGGGCAATAATTAGCTCAAATTTTGCAACGGCTATACGATCTATGCTATCGTATTGTATTTTGCAAAAATAAACCTGCGATATGCATTGCATCAATATCATCAATGATATTATCCCTCTTTAATGAATTATTCAAAGTTATCTCTAATTTTTCTCACAAGATGGCATACGAAAGATTCATGCAAATTCCAGATATCCGGAACTAAACAACATCTTCATGTCCACGTTTAGCGAAAATATCACTATTCCTTCCCAATTTATATGACATAATGCAGATTTTTGTGATATGATATTATAGTGGAAATTCACTACATCAAAAATGCTAACAATCAAAAGTAAGGAACTCGTCCTTTCATATATTACAATACAAAGATGTACAAAATTTCCATCCCAAATCCAAATAAGAAGAGTTTAGACAGCAAATATGATGCACCAAGTAACTGCTGAAAAACTTTGCCACGTGTTACAAGATAATATTATCGTTTGCAACTGCTGAGATTATAATCAAGAGGAGTAACCATTTTACTTATATTTATGATACCGTATAGAGTATCATTTTTTCTAGAATTACACAACGTACTTCTCGATCGGATATTTTCGAGATTATCTTAGAAAAACATCATCAACCTCGACTAAGCAGCAGTGTAATTTGTGGATTTCATGCATTCAAATGAATGGATTAGAAACTGTTTAATAATTCAGACAATTTACTAATATTAAAGGTTGACAACATAATGAAAATCAATATAGTCGCTGGGGTGGCCCCATTGTACTCTTTATGTGTAGCGACCTCACATTTTGCCAATTCTTCTTCAACAATGACACAAGAAAATTGATGGAAAGCGCAATATTAGAAACGAGCTCTTCCGGTGTCATTCCAACATGCCCAATTGCTACTGATAAGCATAATACCTGCAATTAAAATTTTGTTTTGACAAACATCAGGGAACAATAACTAGTATTTGTAATTTCCAAATGCGGAAAATTTCAAAACATTAAGTGATTCATTCCTAATAACAAAAGCACTCACTTTTTTCATCTGAAATTTGATTGTTGAACGGATTTCTTCAATTTTAGCTACCAGTGGTTCAGAATGAGCAACAACACTGGGGAATTTACCAGCCTTATTTAAACCTGGACCAAGTATACGTGGAATTTGTTTGATCAAAGCTTCCGAAGCTAAGAATGCATCATATCCCTGAAAAATATAGGATCATTTCTCCAATATTACGTGATAATGATTTTTTTTTTTCGAAATAACACAATAATCAATATCATTGGCCACTCTTATAATTGAACAATGACCAACAGCATATATCTGATAACGGTCAAATTAATGAAGAATGATGAAAGAATGAAAGAGAAATGCAGGAAACCTTTGCCAGTTTTTTAATAAGTTTTTTGTTTTTGTTCAATTTCTTCAATTCATCCGCATTCATGCATGGTATACCATTTGCGTTAGCTTCATCGCAATGTTGCTGATCACCCAGCACACACACCTTCATATTTGGTCTTGGAATATTTTTCAGCCTAAATATGCTATTGACAACTGAAATATAGATAAATAATCCACGAGCTGTGAATAGAAATAAAAGTTGGGCAAAAAATTGTTACAGAGCTTTAAGTTATCTTAAAATTCCGGCATAAAAGAAAAAACTTGAGGAAAAATCTCAATTTAAACTCTTACATCTTCAAATTATTTTGAACTTGGATGTAAGCTGAAACTCACCCAACCAAAAAGATTAGAAAGACATATGTACATATGTACCACAGGAATCGGACGAGTCAAAATCTAAACGGCCCGAATGAAAATTAAGTTCAGCTAGATGAACCCATCGAAATTTCGAAATTTTCATTGCTGATATGTGGCTATTCTCAAAATATGCTCTGCGTGAAAAAAAGATTTACCAAAAAACTACTCTACTTATATCTTCTTTTTATTTCATCTAACTCCATTTAATCCCTTTTTCCCTTTATGATATTCTGTTCCTATCTTTCACAATTCTATTCCATCCATTCACTACTATCTGAATAATAAACAAAATGAATTTTTCATTCTTTTAACTTAAGCAATACTAATCATTCTTACATGCTAATTCATTATTCCCTTATAGTTCTTTTAATAATAAAAAAAAGGAATGCTTACTGTTGCTCGTTAGTAATCAGTTCGGATTTCAAGCAACAAAAAAAATAATGCATGAAATCCTCCCCATTATTTTAAGACTTTGGGTTAGAGTCTTCGTCGTTTATATTTTAAACGACTTCCTGCTCAACCCTATCAATTGTTAGGTGCGAATGGGAAGAGTAGGCATATTGTAATTGATGAAGGCAATTGGTAATACCTCACGGATCCACTGAAACGTTTATCTTTCTGTGGATCATAATTCTTCAGTGCTACTTGCAATTCCACTGTTTCACGAAATTTTCTCTTTTTCTCCTTTGATGCTTTCAACACTTCATTGACACATTCGAATAGCGTATCACGTGGAATTTTACTCATTTTATTTTACTCACTTTACGCCTACTAAATAGTGCCCTGAAAACTTCATCGATTAAATGTCAATCGTATCCATCATATTACTATACATTACACATCAAACATTCTAAAATTTTTTAACACATCAAAATACTGTTATTGCCATACATTGTCGAAGAAATCACATTTCCAAAATATGTAGGAAAAGATTTTCAACAGAATTCAGCATTTACCAAAAATAATTAAATCACCAGAAAATTTCAACAAAAAGAACACAAACATATACCAACGCATACATATATGTCCCATAGATATTAAAATATATGACGTAAGCGTAATAAATATATGACGCACAAGTAATCCACGACGCACGCAAGTGCGCCAAATTTATGTCAACCAAAGAGTATAAGTAATCATACCGCATACTCCGACATAACCGTCAGGTACCCAAAATTCGCATTGCACCGTATTCCAAACAAGCGTCTTCGAAATAGACTACAATTTGCAGCCCTATATTCGGCTACATTTTCTCCACCCTCACACCACAACAACAATTTTGCAAATCCTTTCATCTTTTCCGAAAATTAGTCCAATACATTTACATTTGTCAGGCATGATCATACTTTTTACATTTCCTTTGTTATGATATTCCTGACAATTGAAATTTGACGAAAGACAAAGGGTATATCGATCATTAAATCCAATATATTTCATAGTGATTATTATTTAAAACTATAATATATTAGACTATTCGTACATTATCACATTCCTGAGAAGCTACTTTCATCTAATTCAATCGATTAAGCTAACATTGGCAATAAAACATGAAATTCTTTCAGTATTAATTAATTTCAGGAGAAACTATAAACAACCATCACAAAACATTCTTAATTGTACTTATAATCAATTCATCAAGAATGCTGAATTTTTATGGATTAAATCAAAGCAACCATATCGCAATGTCAAATATCATAAAGATTGATGTACTCGTATTATTATGTATTACAGTATGAATCAAACTATTAGACTCCTCAGGTCATAACCATTTTCATAGAAGATAATCACATATCTATCATATCCATTACCCGATATCCAATTCATAATCTATTACTTATTTTTAAAGTAGTAGTGCTCTGAACAAATGTAAGAACATTTTGAGAGAATTCACAAACACAATAAAGAGATTCGGATATGTAGATCGTTCTACAAAAATTTCCGAGTATCGATCGGCTTCGATAGATTGAATGAACCATTACCTGATCAATTGCTAATAAAACATTATTGAGCTCAACCATAGTGATTATTTAGTAGAAAGAGCAAACAATTATTTAGTACTAATATGAGATCTTACTACAATAACTGAAGCAGATGAATAATAATGTAAAATCACGTTAAGTAGCTAAAAAGGCAATCGTTAAGCAAAACAAAGCAGTCTGAGATGATTATTATCAAAATATTTAAAAACCACTCACAAATTGATAAAATTTATGCGATAAACGATTTAACAAAAAAAAAAAAGAAATTCCTATATTACAATATAACCAAATCGGCAAAACATTCAATATTTTCACAACCTTCTATTGTTTCTGTCTGAAAAGCATTTGAAATTTTATTGATAAAATCCACATAGAATTATAGTGCATAATCTCATTAACTAGCTGTTTTTTTCCATTTTTTTTCTAATTCTGGTTCAGCTTATCCGTGTTCACAATATACTGCACTAAAATGCTTAAAATGACGTCCAGTATCTCATATCCCAATATATAAGAATCTGATGCAAATTATATAAAGAGTTTCGTAACGTGAATTGCATACAGTTACATGAAGTAATGTGTATAATGTAAACTCACGTATTCGTTGGGTTCGACAATAGAATGAAATTTCCAGAGTACCGCAGAATGGAACTTATCGCAAGAAAACCAGACACGTGTGATACTTCCAGCTAATTCATCCCATCGATCCGCTACTGTTTTCTTGAAGTGCTCCAACTCTATCCAAACATTTCCAACAACATCACTTACCCAAACCCAATCTTTTCCGGGTAAATTTTCTGGTATCTTCATTTTTTGACATATCTGCAATTTCCAGGAATATCTTACGACTCCAAATTAATAGAAAAACTTTTCATCCGTTGAATAAGTTTATTAAAAATACAAACAAAAAAAGCTCTACACTCATTATTTAAAAAGTGATATGAATTAAAATTTGTTCAAATGAACGAAATATTAATAATCAATAGTCTAAGCGATTTGAATCAATTTCGTGCTATTATTGACTTACTTTCATGAAACAAAAATAATAAGATACCTGAGCTCTACCTTTTACTTCTCTTGTCAACACCATCTGGTTCTCTGAATATCTCAATTTATGGGCTTCCAAAACACCATCTCGTCTATAAAATTAAAAGTAAAATTTGGCAAAAAACTTCACATATTATACTGACAATCTTTGAAATTTTCTGGTATGCTTACGAGCTAAAATCATTAACATTTTATCATTTTTTTATAATTACAAAAAAAGTTTTTGCATCCAAATGTCAATGAAAAAATTTGAGAAGTGAAATTTGAAACTTTATACTTCACATCATTCTTCACCAAAAATTATGAATATCTCTAATGGCACAAACTCATAAACTTATACATCAAAACAGATAAGAATCTCAAACAAAAAATCAAAGACATTTATAAAGTGGAAAATTTTGACATAGGTAAATGGGAAAACAGCGGAAAAAACAAAAACTAACCCTATCCGGACAGAAAAATCAATCCAAGCACCTATCGCAATGTTCTGACATCGTTCATGACGAAAGTACACAATTCCTGTTGCTACCGACCATAAGACAACTTGTTCTACAGTGAAATTAGTATTATTCACAAAAAAGAAAAAAGACTGGTTACAGTAAATGGGTAAGGAATGCAGAGGTAAACGATAATTTAAAATACTTCATTTTAGCAAATTTGTTGTTTCAAATTCTAATAATCAGAAAAATACAAAAAAAGTATAAAAACCGTACTTTAACAGATAAAAAGATAGAAAGAGAAAGAATCAATAATACCGAAATCATAACTGGTTACTAACGTATCAAAATTTTCGCTATTACTGGAATATTAAAAGTTCACACTTCTTATGTTAGCTTAGCTATTTTTGCCATATATTCCAATTTGGTTAATGTTGAATTTTCTAATATCTAGCAAAAATAACTAATGCTACGAAAATTATGTTCCTGGCCTTCTGTGCAGCATTCCAGTAACGTCGAACATTTTAGATATCAACGTATAGTTCTTCAATTTAGATAGTAAAAAGAAAATATTAATATTTTGAGAAATTACTCACTTTGCTGATGTATCATGTCACGGCAAATTACCAATCCGGAATATTTAGCAGCTGGATTGATTTTATCCTTGGGCCGACATTGCTAAAGAAAAAAAGGAAGAAAATTAGCATTTACATGAACTAACATAAGGAAGATCACAAAACAAAACACAAAACAATTTGTAATAATAAAGTATTAATAATCTGCGAGTATAAATTCAGGAAAAAAAGATAAAGAAATATACCAAACAATGAACTGATAGCAATTCTGCATCGACCGGTATTTCAGATTGAACCCATGGCTGAAATAAAAAGTCTCCAGGAAGAAAAAAACTAATTATTACATGTCATGTGATAATTTCATTAATAATATTCAACATTATGTGTATCATCTAGAACAAAAATATTACTATATTAAAATGAATCACTTTTAGATTCATTCCAATGACATTAACAGTATAATTAACAAACAGTTCTTAATAAGTGACATTCAAAAAAATTTCATCCCATGCTTCAGTGCAGTACTACAAGCTGATTTTGTATTCCTCATTATAGTTTGCTCCATTTCGGATGAAAAAACTTATCCTTATCTATACCATCGTTTTAATATGATAGGCTATAAGGCTATGGTAATATTTTTAAAAAAGAACTATGCCAACGGCAAGTAAAAAAGGCATATTAAAAGAATTGAACAAATTTCTTTATATCCAAAACGATGGATGTGAAAATATGAAGCAACAGGAAGAAGAAACTATAATTATTTTTAAAAAAAGACATAAATTAATCAGTCAATTGGAGAAAAATCTACCGCATCATAAATGGGAAGTTGATCATAAGCTGGTCGGACAATTTCAGTTACCTTCGTCAATACATTACTATTCAAATTAAATGGTTCGCTTAATAATTCAATCCAGATTACGTAAACAATATTCGGTGCAACATTTTCATGGTTAAATATTCCATCATCATCGAGAATCCACTGTAAAAAATTTAAACATACACTCATATCGAAGTAATATTAATTAAGATTACCCAAAAAGCATACAGTAATGATGTGGATGTTGCTGTACTCCTACACAATTATCTTAACAATACCAACAGTAAAAATAAAATAAGCAGTTCTTCAATAGTCCAGCTCAAGAATTAAATTAAGTTTAATGATATTATTTTGAAGTATAACCTTTCAAATTACCATATAAACAGAAATCATACTTCAAAATGCGGCGACCAAACATACTGCTCGAAATTATTATCCAATCTACAAGGTATAGCTGCAACTGTTTCAATCTGAAAAAGTTAATGCCATGAAAAAAATCGTTGAAGAAAAAACAGCACATGTAAAAATTTTAGCATATACCAAACAAACATATCTCATTGAACTACTATAATTCTCATATGTAATAGCTGTTGAAACATACCAAAATTCGGCAACTCGATGAATTACTACTATCATTTGGCTTTATAATTTTAGTTGGAAGAATTGGTGAACAAGCCTCAATGACTGGTTCCGTCGAGTAATCATTAAACTGCAAAATAAAAGAAAAAAAGTAAATAAAAATTTGAGAAATAAAAGTTGTATTTTTTGAAAAGTTTATATTTCTTCGTTCCTTTTTTTAACCTCATGTATAAAATAAAACACTTGTCCTATATATAAGTTTGTCCTGCAATCTTTTCTAAATTTAGTCTTATGAAGCACAATTTTGTTATATATAAGAATTATAATAGTTCAATGAATGAGATATGTTTCATTTTCTCTTTCAGAAATTAGTTTTTTAAGTAAT